CCCCAAAACCCCAAAACCCCAAAACCCCTCATTAAGCCTTTAAATAAATGAAATTAAGGAGTTTTGTTATTTAAAAACAATTTTCAGATATAACTTTGTTAATAAGATTTCGAATTGAAATATTTTATATTTAGTACGTTGTCTAGAATTATAATATCATTAATTCTTTTTACTACTACTTAATTTTCCTACAGTTATTGCAGGAGTTGCTGTTGTCTTTTATCTAGAAGGTGGTTACTAAGAGTTATTGCGGCTGCTTGGTTTCCCAGTTCCAGAGTTAGGAGTTTTTTTAATCATATCTGCTGCAATAATTTTAACAGGCTTCTTTGGCGTTTTGGAACTGCTTTTCTGATACTTTACTGAGCCATTAGGGGTTTTGCTATCTAATTTAGCTGGAGTCTTAGTCTCTACCTGAGCAGGTGTTGTTGCATTTAGAGCAGCCTGCTCTTTAAGTTTTTAAATAGTTTCTTTGATTGGGATAAATATCTCTTAAACAGATTTACCAAAATGACCAACTGTGAATGTAATTGTGCCTCCATTCTTATCTTGTTCTCTTGTGTCTTCCACATAAGGAATTCCATCATATAGTGGTAAAGTATGTCTACCGTAGTTAACTCTACCAGCTTCATCATTTAGCCTATAGACAGCGTATCCTAATAAATCCCATTCCTCTTCCAAGAGCGATTTTGAAATTGAATTAGATACTATTGGCTTTTTTATTCCCTCCTTTAGTTATAGATACAAAAGCACTAGATTTATATTCTTTTTCATGCCAATTTCCCAATAGTGAGAAATCATTTTATAGAAATTCTTCATCCATTAAACTCCTGAGTCTATTGGTATGGAATCAGGGGCTACTGCATTTTCTCTATCTTTCTTTTTCATTTTCTTTAATCCAGCTAAATTCAAGGGATTAATACCAGGAGAAGCGAAGAAACAGAAAGTTCCATCCTTGCTCTTAACAACATATTTTCCGAATTGGAGAAGATAACCGACTCTAACATGTCTTTAAGGAGTGATACCTTCGACATGATGCATATATAGATGAACTCCATCACATTTATAACTTTTATCTGCTTCCTTCATCACACGAAGATCATTGCAATAGTTAGCAGGAAACTAATGAAGATCAGGGACCCAGTAGGAATTCTCCTTTTCTGGTCCCATTTAAACATGTCCAGATTAAGAGTACTAAGATTAAGAGTGTTGAGACATATTGATTTTAGGTAAAATGCCAGCTTTAATGGCTTCGGTATCTGTTGTGTAGTAAGACTCAATTCTCATAAATACATTAGTCAAAGGTATTCTTTAAACTATCTCAGGGAATCTGAACAGATTTATATTAGTATCAGCAGGGGGTAGATAGAGTGGAACTTTGAAGTTGCCAGTGTTCAACTCCCCTTTTTCATTAAAGAGATCAAGGACACTCCAAGCCAAAGTCTCTTCTTCGCCAACTTTGGATCCCGTTTCTAGATCTAATTCTTCATCATCAGATCTGTTTCTATATAAAGGATAACCAATACCAGTTCCACTGTATATATCAAAATCTTCTGGTCTATAAAATACACTTTTAGATTGTGGGTTTCCTTAGACTTCCCAGACTAAAATATTATCAGGATCAACCAGTAGATCTTTTATCAAATGATGTCCATTGAATACGCTAGTATACTCAAAGTATATAGCGTTTCCTTCTTCAACTTCAAACTATGATATAAGTTTGGCGTTACAATATCTTGGTGTAATCAGTGGCTCTCCTTTTTTGTAAATACCGTATACAATCTAAAAATAGATTAAAATCAACTATATGTTTACTCTCTTTGCTTTGCAATTTCTAAAAAATCTAAGTATAAAGTCCCAAAATATATTGAAAGTTATCAGCTTCTTTGGTTCGGGTTCTAGAATAGAATTTATCATCAGAAAATATTAACTTACTCACTGGGGGTGTTCTTGGTCTCTCAATTACAACAGTAGTAAAGCATGGCTTTCTATATTCATTTGCGAGATACTCAAGCAGCCTCTCCATCTCAATTCTATATGCAGTTAGTTTTCTAAGTTTTTCACTTCTAACTTGATGAAGCAGAGTGTAATGAGGAATATTTCCCAGGATGATAGCTAATTCTTTCTCTTTATCTTTAATTGTCATTAAAATATTCCAAACGACTGGATCTTGCCAAGGATAAAGGAAAAAAGGGCCTTTAAATTTGTCTATGAATGAACAAGGCGGATACTGTCTAACAAATCTATCCAGATCATCGTTTATTTTTCTTAATTCTTTGTCACAATTCCCCCAGATTTCATCGTAATGAATTCCTTCATTCATTGCAAAATCGACTCTGTTAAAATTTTCATTCGCTTATATTATTTGACCCATGTATCTGGCTGTGGGAGCATTATTGAAAATGACTGGAAGTGATAAGGAAGGAGAAAGTGTTTAAACCATAGATTATGTGTTTCTCCCAGATAGTTAGTCTTAGAAGTTTATTTCTGCCCTACTTTTTATACTCGACTGTAAATCGTTTAATTTTTGGTAAAAGTATGGATCTGATGCTGCCTGTTTCAAGTTTTTGATACTTTAATTTAGCTTTCTCTAACCATTTCCAAGGCTGTAGTCCTAAATAATTATCATGATAATCACTATATTTATTTACTCTGTTCACTCATCCAGTTGATAGGATGCTCCAATTATCATTTGGTAGATGAATTGATGACCTTGTACTATATCTATCGTCCATTATTAATACTTATTCGCTTGTTTTGAACTTCTTTTATTATTTTTGATATTAAAATTATAGTACACGATTCAAAATGGTAATCTCAAACACTGTAACCACAGTTAAATTTATTTCAGAAATTTTCAATATTTCTTCAATTTATTAATAATTTATACTTATGGGGTTTTGGGGTTTTGGGGTTTTGGGGTTTTGGGG